TCTGCTGATCTCATACGAAAATTAAAAAAAGATTCGAAGAACAGTACACAGGTACATTCTTGTAAAAAATTCAACGGTCTCAGTCGCCTTTGCAACTTTGGAATGAGTTACTTTCTTCCGTATGGAAAACGAAAAATTTTCATAGATGATTTTACGAGTGAACATGTGGGCTACATTACACTCAATACAAAAATCACTTTTTCATGGTCCATCCATCAAATCACCTGCCTGCACGGGGTCACATTTTGCGTAATGTAGTTCACATTTGGTCTGAAGTAGTACTAACAAATACCCAATTGACAGATGATTTTTCGCATATCACAATAATCAAATCTATTTCACCACTCAGTTATCGGACGAAATCGAATTTTGACCACAAGTTACTAATCAAATCAGATACTCACTTACAGAAAATACTACTACTACAGAAAATCACTTTTTATGGTTCATCCATCAAATCACCTGCCTGCATGGGGGAAACTGATGCAACGAATGTTGATTCTGGAATGATTGATAAAAAGTTAAGTCACATTTTGCGTGATGTAGTCCTCATTTGGTCTGAAATAGTACTAATAAATGCTCAATTGACGGATGACATTCGTATATCACAATAATCAAATTTATTTCACCACTCAGGTACACGGCGAAATTAAATTTTGACCACAAGTTACTAATCAAATCAGATACTGTTGTGTAGAAATTTCGCAATGATGCAGCTGTAAATTATGGGTTTTTAAACCTTACCCACTCGCTATACTCTTGTAGAGATGAAGCTCCTTTCGAGGAAATGTTGGAGCAAAACTGGCTCCAAGAAGAGGGTTTTAAAGGCTTTGTTCGGCGGGTTGGATTGTCGAGGGGCAATTACCGATTGCTCGGCTAGAAAGCTCTGGCTCCGGCGGCAGCGGCGGTCGGGGGTGATTATTGCGCTCCGACCATCTAATTAAAATCTCGTTAAGAAGTTGTACTTCATTTTTGAGTCGATAAATCATCCGTCTCTTGACTCATTCCGAGGTTTTCGGCCGTCATTCTGAGCCGCGGCCCTGGCTTACGATTCCTGGACTCCGGGCGGCTCTGGTTCTACGCCTAAGTCCCGGGTATTGTATTTATCAGTGCTGGAATGTAGTTAAACTAAATCTGAACTAAAGCTAGGAATCGTATTTTAGGCTGGACAGAATTACCCAGAGCCAGACAATCCAAATGAGTTAGAAAGTGACAAGAGAAAATTTGGATTGCATTTTGCAAAAATGAACCAGGAGCATTACAATATTGCTAAGATTGTGCAGCTCCTTTTGTTTTGGAAGGAATACCTAATTATCTCTAAACAGTTTCTATTTAACTCGATAAAAACTGTAAATTTAAGACAAAAATTACCATGTAAATTTCATATTTTTTCAGGATTTTAATAGTTATATCACAATGAATGAAGTTGCACAATCTTAGCAACAATAATGCAATGCTCCCGGTTCTTTTTTGCAAAATGCAATCCATTTAATACTTGCACATGACATATCAATAAAACATGACAAGAAATCAGGCAACATGAAACGCAGTTATGCTGATTGCGATTCAATTCGTCCATTTAATTTGTAAATTATTTTCGGAAGGAAATGGACACATAAACTATAATACTACTTTTTTTTTTTTTTTTATTCTTCAAATACATGTTACAACCACCTACTAGGTGTAAATTAACTTTTCTTTACAAATAAAGTAACTTAGAAATTGACTAACGTCTAATTTTTGTTTTTAGCTTTATTGACTAACGTCTAATAAATAATAACTAGTGCATTGAAAATTGCTGAAATCAACTCCTAACTAAGATATTAATGTTCTTATATGAAACACAACACTCTACGTTAGTCGAATCGCGCCTTTCAACGATTTTGACAGGCTTCTCAATCGATCATTTTTCCTGATCCACTCTTTATTATTCATAGTGTAAACAATTTGCAATAGCTGAGCCAAAACGTCAAATATGAGGTTGCCATATATTTTCTTATCACAGAGACTGAAACAGTAAAATTTAGCGTGCGATTTGACTCAAGAAGACCATTGTGTTTTCATGACCGGGAGCTTTGAGTTTACCCGTCAAGAAACATTAAATATCTTGGCGAGCAGTTAATATCTGTAATTTTCGTTTCACGAATCACGTTTTACGCGAAATTTTGGTTTAGGAACGTGTACATCAGAATGCTGAAGCTCAGTGGTCCATTAAATTGATTGAAAATAAGAATCATTCCAACCCCCCATTTTTCGAGGTTAAAACTCGAAAAAACAGGTTTAAGAAACAGGAAGCTTTTTTCCTCTAAATTAATCGGATCCTGACATCATCGTCAGAGATTTCCCTAGCGACGCACCATGAGGGGTATCATGAGGCTTTGAATGCAGCAGACTGAAAAAACCGCTTAACTCCAAAGGAAAAAGTCGAAAGATTCGGTGTTTTTGCTGGATGTCCCGGGCTGACTCATGCGCTTCCCCAACAATAGTGCTCTCGTGTAAGTTTAAGATACTACACACTCTACATGTATTTGAAAAGGAATAAAAAGAAAATGTATTAAAATCCAGGGCGGGGCGGGGAGGGGGAAGCGGTACAACGGGCCAGAGAGGAGTCGTGTCAAAAGTGATGAAGATGAATGTGCTGTTTTTTTCTTACGGGCGAGAGAGACGGGTAATTGAGGGAGGAAGAGAGACGCCGAAGACGAACTTGGGTCCGGGCGAGCAGCTTCCGCCGTTGTCAAATGGGCCCGCGCTCGTGACGTCACTCGGCTCCGCGATTCAGGAATTATTTTAGTCTGACGTCATGAGTACAAATCGAAGTTTTCCGGCATCGTCAGTGAAAATTTCGAGGGGATGTCGCAAAATTTCGCCCACTTCGCAAGGGTAGCAGTTGTTATCTACGTAAAATCGTTCAAAAATCACGTATCTGCTAAACCGAGAATCACTTTTACACCTCTGATTTTCCTCAAAAAATTTGAAAAATTTCAATAGTCTGATTTCATGAGTACAAATCGATGATTTCCGGCATAGTCCGTGAAAATTTCGGGAGGAAGTCGCAAAATTTTGCCCAAGCTGTAAAGATAGTTATTATCCACGTGAATTCGTTCAAAAAGCACGTATCGGCTAAGCTTAGAATCACTTCTTCATCTTAAAATTTTACTTAGAACATTTGAGCACTTAAAACAACTAACTATGCCTAGACATTCTGTTTGAAATTATGAGGAATTGAAAGATTTCTTTATTTAAAGGGCTGGGGAAGACAAAAATTGAAATTTTCCGATTTTCGGTTTATTGGCAATTCTTGCCCTTCATACAGAAGACCTTGCCCAGACTGCCTTGCGTGAGTAAAATAAGACCGTTTTTGAAATTACGATAAGAAGGTCCAATGGGAGGGGCGCTCAAAGAGGGGGTCTAGGTACTTAATCAACGTGTTTCTATGTGTTTTTTTGTTTACTAATTTTTTATAATGTAAGGTGGTTCTGCCTGACGACATGTTGATTGCTAAAGGCATGACATCAAGACTCAATCAAATGGCCAATTTTTTCAATTTTAGTTTGCTTCAAAAACGTGTTTTCTCATGATTCCTTCTCAGCGTTGAATCTTGCGTGAAACACTGGCTTTAAACCGATTTTACGCAACCTTTTTGGCCTTCGGTATGGCTATATCAGTATTGAGCTACAAAGAGGAAAAACTGATCTTCAAACCTAGCAACTCTCGATCACTGTGAAGTGAAAAACTGACGGAAAATGAATGACTTACTCTCTGCACAAAACTTCTACACCTTTTTTCTTCTCTAAGAAAACGATCATGATCAAATTTGATTGACGTGACTTTGTAAGTCTGGAGTCCAAATTTTGGTCTAGCTCTTACCCAAAAATATTTTTTTCAGTTTTGAGGATTTCGGTGGTCGAGGTTGGTTTATGAATGTGACGAAAGAGAATAAGTACCCTCCATCCCAAAAACTCAAAAAACTAAATCGAGCTGCGAGAAATCCGACAACGGGAAACTTGCAGCTGACAGACATTCCCATGGCGAAATAAAGACAGAGCGACTAGTCTCATGAGCAAGAACGAAAAAGATAGAAAATTACTTTCATGTCTTTCTCTTCAGACTCCCTTACTGCGTCTCCCACCGGTGCGGCCCTCCCTCAACACGAGCTCTTCCTCAGTGTTGTCGGATTCACACGAAATATTCGAATTTTACGTAAAAAACTCAAAATACAACACCAGTTCCTAGAATAATCCGTCACCAATGCCTCCTCGCTGACTGTGAAAAAGAAAAGATGGAGCTGTTTTCGAGGGACCAACTCGACCTGGTCTTGGGAGCTGGGCGAGGATCCTTTCGTTAGGGTGCTGAGTAAACTTTCCTGGCGTATTACTGCTTGCTCCGAATTTAATTCTAACTCCTTTCGCCTTATAATTTGCCTAATAAACATAGGGAATCTTTAACCCTCCTCCCGGAAGCATTGGTTTATTTTTAAAGGACACGTGACTCGCAAGTGTTACACACATCCGCGATCTTAATGATATGGGTGAGGAAACAGAGTGGAAACGCATGCAAAATCACGCATTTGAATACAATGCGCGGTGTCACTCATTGTTATTATTTTAGGTTTCACGATAACTGGAATAGTGTTGTCGCCGTAACAGAAATCACATTTTCGGCCATTTATGTATTAAAATTGAAAAGTAGCGCAATAAACCTTTGAAAAGCGTTATAACATGTAACCCTATGTAAATTAATGCAAAAAAAATTCCAGGGATTATCATTACCAATAAAAATATGACCGAAAAGCTCGACTCTTCGATTCAAGGAAAACTCGGATTGAATCAAGTGTATATTTTCTTGTCAGTGTCAATAAGAGTCTGGACTCTAGAGCCAAGCGACTTTTTTCCAGTGTAATCGCTACCCCTTCTCATTGTATGGATACTTTTTGCTTGATTTTGTTGCCTGAAATTTTTCTCGCCGACTTGCTACAATTTATGTTCTACTTTGTTCTGTTGCAGAGAGAAAGAGGGGACGGCAGACCTATACCAGATACCAAACATTAGAATTAGAGAAAGAATTCCATTTTAACCGGTACCTAACAAGGCGGAGGAGGATAGAGATCGCGCACGCGCTTTGTCTAACAGAGCGGCAAATCAAAATATGGTTTCAAAATAGGCGCATGAAGTGGAAGAAGGAGAACAAATCCAAAGGGGGCGACGGAACGGATGGGGGCGATGGCAGTGATATCACCCCCCAAACCTCCCCTCAATAGGAATAAGAAATATTTCATAATCTTCAATACCTCCTCTTCTTTTTTTTCTCTCGAAAAAAGAAAAATTGATCGGATGGTAGATTTCAAAATCGCTTCTCTTCAAAAAATCTAAATTTTTTATATTTTGGTAAACCGTACTGAGCTCTGATGTTTCCAAAATATACTTTTGCTAAAATATGAAAATAATTTCATCCTGAAAAAAGGTAGGTAAACTTGACATTCAATATATTACCCACGGTCGTTTTGAAGGAGCAAACGGCGCCATGGAAAACTCAAGCCCCATACACTTGTGTCGTTATCTCCATCAAATTGTGGATCATTACTTGGAAGTTTTATGCTGCTTTTAAGCGTTCGGTCGAAAAAGTCCTGCAATTTCTTACTAAGATGACCAATTTGATATTACTTTCGAAATTATCAGTCTAAAGAAGTAATACGAACAAGATTTTTAGGTGCATCTAATCTGTTTTTCTCAATCAGAGCATTTGACCTATTGAAGGCGAAAACGTGCTTATTAATCGGTAAAAATCAATGAGAAAGCGTGATTTTGAAACTTCCTCCGATCAAACCCCAGTGAAATGGATCTAAGTCAATATAGTCAGTAGTTAATCTTATATATAGTCATGTAAAAAGTATATAGACCATTTTGTACATAGTCTTTTTAAAACATTTGGTTCCGATACATTCTTTGTATTACCTATCAATTTTTTCTTGTTTTGTGTGTTTTAAAGTTTTCTAAAAAATAAAAAATAAATAAAAAAGTTAAGTAATACTCTTTCTACTTACAAGTCTTGGGCTATGATCTTCACAATGCCCCGTCGAGTTATAGAAGGAATAAATATTCCTGAGTTGATTTCCTCAATTTAGATGTCAGCGTGGGTCACGTTTGAGAAGTGAGTGTGACGATAAAATTAAAAATTACTTTTTTAAGCAAATGATGTGTATAATAATGATGTCCAAAGTACCTTACAATGGCTAAGAATTGTGAAAATGTAGTGAGCAACGTCCTTGTCCCTTTCTTTCAACTTTGAAAAATGTTTGACAATTCTTCGAATTCAACCCTCAATTTTTTTGGGCTCTAAACGAAAAAACTTTTTAGTCTAGAGACCTTAGAATGAAATTAACCATATGCAATCATTTTACAATGCTGATATATTGATTTATAGCTTTTCAAGCCAAACCCTCTGACATGCATTGCAGCGTGTACCGAAACTTCAACTTTATCCATATTTTCCCATGATTGCCATTGTTAATGTCTCAAAATCGTCAAATCTATAGATTCTCTTTTATTTCATTTCAATTTTTTTCTGTACATTTAATAGTGCAATATAGGTTATTAGAAGTTTTTTTATTTTCTCTTATTTTAACATATTCAATTGTCAAATTTTATTCTTTGAAGAAATTTACCCATCTTTCGGATTCTTTTCTCAGCAATAAAGAAAACAAAATTCAAGCTACAAGTATTTGTGACCAATTAAGTTTCGTCCCTCTTTTGTTTGTTTTCTTCTTTCATTCTTTTTTTATTTATCAAAGCGTTAATCTAAACAAAGTTCGCAATAACATATAAATTCAAGTAAACAATAATTTTCTTATTATTTTCACCAACTTGTTTTCAGTTTGACTATGCGCTCCCTCATTCTTCACTTCCAAATATTAGGTAATAACACAAGTAAAAATCGCAAATTAATAATTTTTGAGTCAGTGCCAAAAGTTTGCATATCAAAACTTGTAGCCCTTCCTTTGACGGTCATAATATTGATTCTGCAGATGATTATGCCAGAAAAATCTTTGAAAACATCATCCAGCTTTTGTATTGAATTATCATACCTTTTATACGTATTTCAACCCGAAGACTTAAAATTATACGTACCTAATGGTTTCGATTATTTAGGCAAAAAACTTACGCATAGTCTTGTTTCTGCTCAAATCTAAGCGATTCTATGTTGATGTTAATGTTACGTTGAAAGTTTATTTCCAGAGAATTGTGCAGAATATTTTTTTGGATTATAGTTGTTTACTTAATTTAATTTTCTTGTGTTTAATGCTCCTAATTTCTTTCGTCTTCGGATACAAGTTTCTTCCTATGTCATCTTTTGAACTAGTACACAAAGTGAATAACCACAATTTATTAGTAACGCTGATCATTGTTTTAACAATTTTAGAGCTGAAATACCAAGAAACAATGTAAAAAATGAATAAAAATGGGAGAACGAAACTGAAATCGTCCTTTGATAGATTGAAGTCCCTCTGAAGAAAATATTTGGCCAAGATGAGTCACTGAAATATTCTTTTATTTTATTCATGCACTTTTTTTTACCCGCATTTTGAAAAAAAATTTGAGTTTCAACGAGGGATTCAAGAAAAGATTATATTTTCTTAAGTACAAAATGTATATTGATAATGAAGATAGTATAGATGACTTTGTACTTTCTCAATTTGGTAACGTTGTTATTGATGTTTTATTACGATTATTGATTATTATATTTATTTGTAATTATTATAATAATGCAAAATTATGATTTAAGAGAAAAGAGTTCCTGAAAATTAATTTATGGAGAGGTTAGAATGTATCGAATTAATTTTTCTTTTTCTTTTATTCATGGCCCTTTTCATTCTTTTGCCGGTGTTGTGCAAATTTTCACATGAATCCTTGAAAACTTCTGATTTTATTTTTGTACTCAAAATCATTAAGTAAGCTGCAAGTTACATCTCGTTGAGATACCTATGTGAAACCTCAATGTTAATATTATTTTCGGTCATACTTTCCCTTAGTGATCCATCTATTGTACCCAAAAGCGTCATTGATTGTTTTTTAGAGATCACAATGAAAGTGATTCCACCTTGAGTTACTTCCGCTTTTTATTGCAGTTTTTGACTCCTTTCAACTTTAGTGGATTCGCTGTTGTGAAAAAACTAATTATTAGATTAGTTCACAAGAGATGACAAGGTTCTACATGCTGAGTTTAGGGTAAATTGAAAATTTCATTAAAATATTGGACTTGAGACTTTTTCCCCTTTCGAAATCAAAATTTTTCACAAGCAGAAGTACTCGCATCTCAATCCAAATATCGGCATCTCTACCATAGAGAAAGGTGATTAAAACACGTTGTTTTCAACGAGGATAGTATTGCTTTGGTGTTTAAGAACTCGTTACCAACACTTTTGCCATCCAAAAAACTTCTTAAAATATCAGTTTGTCAAGCAAGTAGATATCGGTTTTTCATCTTCTCGCGTAACCAAAAATTAAATGAGTGTAATTGCTCGCATAGCATTTATGTTTATTTAAGGGTGAAGTTACCATGCAGAATGCGGAAGTGAGACTTCTTTTTTTAATGTTTTTTTTCTTCTCCACCTCAATTTTCTCACTTCCCATCAATTTGAGTCGGTGAACTTCTGACTCTAAAAGCAATTAACACAGCATTTTTATTCAATAGAAGTAATCATTTTCATGATGCCTATTTTTTTTCATATTATGAGATCCCAACCTCAAATATTCAATTTTTATTTGCTCATGAATTTTTTTGATCAAAATTCAACCTCGGAGACAAAACAAAAGAGGGATCCAATTAATGCAATTTTAAAAAAAAATGAATAAATAAAAAAAAGAATACTAATACACTTACACTGAAAATGGGCACGGCTATGGACCAAGGGTCAAAATAATACAGCCTACTTGCTAAACCGGCTCTACTTATTGTGTTTTGTTTTATGTTATTTTATTCTGTCCATTTTATTCTCGTCATCAAATTGAAAATTCTTCTAAAAATGCTGAGAAGCCAAACTGAACTGAGACGGAGTCTTCATTTCACGCAGTTAATCCCATTCTCCGTACTTTTTTAAACATGCGCATTGAAGAGGGACCTCTTTCAAGAGTCCATTCAAGCGCAAATATAAATGAAAAACAAAACACGCTCAAGATATATTTTAAGTGTGATACATTTTATTATTTATGGAATGACTATTGACAGGTAGTTAGTCAAAATGATATGATCTCACAGTGTAGTTGACTGACGAATAAAAAATCTGTGGTAATTGCTGAATAACACGAAGTTTAATTCCGGTTTATACACAAGATCATAAATTAGGCATGCATATTAATATAAGAAATAAATTAATTTACGTCATTAGTTAATAATTTACCCCATTCAGTTATGTAAAATATCAATACCCTATTGAATTTATTATTTATTTCTAAATTGTATAGTTGTATTTGTATATGTCTTTAACGGAATCATCACATGAAATAAAACTATAAATGAAAAGCAAATGACATCTTTTCATTTGAAAAGTCCTCGATATCAATGCAAATTTTTAGTTCAATTCTAATATTTTGTTGTAAATACAAATATAATTAGAAGATATAATCCTCTCGTAGTTGTAGCATCCAGCCTTGGCGTAAAAAACCTGAGTTCAGAAAATCAGTCGAAGAGACATCATTGATAACGTTGTCAATATTTCAAATCTTATGGCATATCAAGCAACACAAAACCTTTTAGTTCTACTTGTTTTACAAGTCAAAATTATGACTTTAAATCATTGAGTAGACGTTAATAGGCAACCAGTGTAATGAAATTCTAAGACCAGTATCATAAAAAAAAAGCCAATTTATTGAAGTTTTGATAGATTCGATGGGAATTAAAAAATGAAATGCTTTCATTTCAGAATTTCAATAGAAAATTACCATTAGGAGCTAAGCACCTAATTTATACCTAATTATCGACATGATTTTTTTTTTTTTTTTTTTTTTTTTTTAGTATACTGCCGTGCTAAAGAAGAACGCCTTACGAGAGTTGCCAATTTTTTCAGGATAAAACATGTATTTTTGAGAAAAATTATGAAAATTTTTCCTCAAAATTTTTAGATATATGTTGACTTAAATTGCTAACAAAACTGTCTAAACAATTTAACGAAAAATATACAATTTTCCCGGTAAATTTATTTTTCATTGAAGAATTTGTGACAACGTTCGAAGACTCACACGTCGTCCTTCCCAAGTACGGCTGTGTACCTAGTCCGTGACTTTCGACAAGGAAATATACTAAAGTGCTTTTTTCAATGATGCAGATTATTTTTCAGGTCTAACTGCTATCGATTAAAAAACACAATGCTAAATATTCAAATTTTTAGTTTTTGGAAAGGCATATTTAAATATTTGAAAAAAAATTTTGGAAGTTTTGGAAAAAATTGAAATAACTGAACATTTTAAATTCAATAAAGTAATAATTAGTGCTAATAAAAAGTATGGATTGAAAAAAAGTAAGTTGAATCAGTAAAACAGATACTTTTTAATTGAAAATTTTCATCATAGTTCTTATTCCTACAAGTTCTCTTCCAAACATTTAGTACGTTTCAATGATGTGTCAGTCTCGGAAAAACCAGACCATCTTGCCCGATGTTTACATGATTAAGAAGAAATGGTAAAATAATCAGGTTTTTGCGAAATTCAATTTATAGAGTCGCGTAATTTCTTTCGTTTTTAATTAATTACAAATGACAAACTGGGCTGAATAAAATAAGAAACAAAACGAATGAATATTTATTTAATATCACTCTTTCTAAATTACACATCCTTGCTCATAATGAAGAGTCTTTACTCACTTACCTCTCAATGATAATTTTTTCACCACTACTATCGAAACTTACTAAAAAAAAACATACAAAATTTGCAGACCAATTGAACAAGGTTGAAACACGTAACACAGTGATTTAGCTTAAATTAACAATCGTCTGCAATTACCAAAAGAAATTCAGTAGATTGTGTTTACGAAAAACAGAAATGCGCATGCAAATATACCAGTATCAATGCTTTCATTAATTCCCCACGAATAATTTTTGGTTTTACTCTGCACCACTCTTCTATCCTTTCAATTAAAAATCATTTGCTTCAAATAATGTGTAAAACCAGTTTCTTCACAGGTTGATGAACATTAGTGAGCCATGAAGATTTTCCAGGGCTGGACATTTTTGTGAGGAGCTCAATTTGTGCGGTTGTGTTCGAAACTCTCACGTGCGTATTTTCTGTCGAGAATGTGTCGAAACTTGAATTTCGGGAAATTCATGTGTTCTACGTACCACAGTGCGGTTTTGGTTTGATAATACGATTGGAAATCGATACCACACTCAGTGGTATCTCACTATTTTTTCGTTCGAAGGATGGATTTCTAAGTTTAACGAGTGCAAGTGCTGAGCTGACTCAGAAGAAAAAAATGCTGTGTCCTCCCTAAAATAATTATTGTGCAAGAGATCATTAATTTTGACGTCAACGTGGCTGTCTCATATGTAAAATTACGATGCGAACTTTAGAATGATCGGAGCTCTGAATTTGGTCTCATTTAATTTCGGGAATTTTGATAAATACAAATAATTTCGGTCTGGTCTAGTTTAGTGAGATTCAATTCAACCTGTTTCGGAATGAGTTTGTTCGGTTCGGTACAGTTCGGTGCAGTTCGGTACGGTTCGGGTTCGGCCGGTTTGGTTTGTCTCGATCCAGGATAGTTCGGTTCGATTTCGCTCGCCCAATGAATCGCTCGAAGTTGATTTTGCAAATCAAAAGATTCCAACAATACGAAGGATACCCATCACTCAAATGGATTCGCCAAGCAGAGATCAGCTGAAAGGGATGCTAAAATGGTGAGTCTTAAATAAAAACCATATTTACGTGTATTAGTATTTTCAGTAGTCTCTATAGTAGCATTCTTCTTCAGCTTTTTTCATAGCGAAGCACGCACAATTTAGGTATTCGTTTGTCTTAAATATGGTTTAAATACTGTTTTTAAACAATAATTGATTCATTTTACATTTATGTATTGAGATATAGTGTTGAATCCATCACATTTTTAGTCTACTTCTGAGTATAATCAGTATGTAGACGAGGAAAGAAGTGAAATTTTTTCCCATCAAACCATAGTTTTTCGTATCTTACCCTCAACAGAGCTCTTGAAAATTAATGGGCAAGAGGAAAGAAAAAATGTAAAATTCACTATTTTGAAGAAACACACCATTAAATAAAATAATTTTACTATCTTCGTTTTTATAATTTCCAAGAATTGAAACCCCCTCTATCAAATACCTCATGTTTTATTTTTAAGCATAGACTGCGATCGCCTTCAGATTTTTCGATATGCAATCTCACAACCGCAGTGTTCGAATAGTTATCTTTCAAAAATCGAGGAGGTTATTGAAAAAACTTTCAAGAGGGAGGTGGCTCCTTGTCCCTCTATCGTTTTTATTTTATTTTAGAGTGATAACCATCCAAAAATTTATAGGAAAAAAAATACAAGCAGACATTGTACTCCCTACTGATTAAAAGAAATGCATTTACTTCTTGCAAACTGCACCAATCGTAAGATCTAATATTTTTGCAACCGATTATCATCTCTCCGCCCCCTTTTCCATCTCTTTTTAACCCTTCTTCTCTCTCTTCCTTCCTGTGAAAATTTTGCAAATGGGGCCCACGATTACGTTAATAAGACGAAAATTTGTGTGAAAAATCAGAAAGTTTCTGAATTTCCTCCAATAACTAGTGATTAGGAAAGAGTGTGGACGTTTCCTTCCGATGCCTTAAAACGTCTTATCTGAAATTTACGCCATAGTGCATGGGCAAATATTATGGATAATTATTTTCCGCACTTTTCTAAAACTAAATCCCATAGATTAAGAGAAATTGAACAAAGTTTGAACGCCGCATAAACTTTTGAAAGGCGACTTTTTCTGTCAGAGAAAATTTTGAATGTTTTTTTCTTTTTTTTTTACATTTCCATAGTCTTAAGATCAAAGTGCGAAGAATATTCTCTGAAAAATTGGTAAAAAAGTATTCCCGCATTCATCCGAAAATTTGCACTACACCCGAGGAAATTCGGCAACCTTCGAGGGCGCATACGACATTCCTGCAACGTTGCAGCGCAGGTCAAAATACTTCCGAGTCCATCAGAGGGTGGAATCCGCAAAGGCATACAACCCCAGCCGCGAGCGAAAAACTTGGCGGAAAGACTCCCCATAAATAAGGAAGAATAAATAAAAAAGCACTTGCCGCATCAATTTTCGGAAACTTTCATAAATAAGGCGAATTTTAATCACGGCGCTGACGCCTTCGGTTAATAGAAAGGGCGGGAAAAAAAGGCGAGATCATTTTTTTCCTATTATGCTCCGCGAGATGTCGCCTTTGTCAGGAATTATTATCGTAATCGCCCTCTCAGCGTAATCCTTCACATCCTCTCTCGCTCTCCTCTTCTCGCACCTCGCGGAGCTTTCCTCTTGCCACTGTCTCCCTCCCCCCGCCCTTTCCACCCTGGACCGGCGCCTTATCCGTGTTCTTGGTTAGAGTCTGGTGTACCTCGCCCGGGCGGGCGAGGGAAATACATTTTGGTGAAGCGGACCGGCTCAGCTGATGTGGAAATGATAAAGAGGCGATCCATAAATTTTCCCTTTTCAACGTTTTTCATCTCTCGCGCCTCCGTCAGGGGGAGGAACGCCCCCACACCCACCCCCGCCCTCCCCCCCGCGCGCCCCCGGAGCTCGGCAACTTTCGAGTTTCGACTCGGGTGATCCCGCCGCCCTGCTTAGACTGTTTCCCGTTGAGTCGACCGACCCCTCCCCCCCTGCGACTCGCGTCGTCTTCTGGGAGGGGGTGGCGGGGGAGGGGGAATAATCGATGTTAAAACTTGTGATTATCCGTGCGCGCTTGCTGTATAAATACCCCCGGCGCGGAGCCACGCAAACATCGGCGAGCATGCCAAGTAGATGAAAAATATTGCCGGACCTTGACTTTCTAAGTGAGGATTTTCGCGGGTTAATCTCGCCACTTCATTATAAGCGCTTTTTTACGACGGAAGGGTGGTTTTTCCCTGGTTTAAATGTAAACGGTACCTCCCTCGTCACCTGTGGGCGCACTGATGAAATTGGTAGTCAAAGCGATAGACAAAGAAGACAGAAAGGATGGGACCCTATTTGGTAGAAGCAGCAGTCTGATTGTTGAAATTTTGTGTTCATCCGGTAGACATAGGTGACATAGGTTAAAAGGCGGAGCGTGATTGGTCGGCTATGTCTTATCGCTGCTTTATCGTGACTATGTCGGGTGGAATTCTCAACAAGTTAAAGGCACCTCTTAAGTTTCCGACAGTATGTCGTCTACTCCACCTGACAAGGGCACGATAAAGCAGCGATAAGACATAGCCGACCAATCACGCTCCGCCTTTTAACCTATGTCATCTATGTCCATCCGACAACCACAAAATTTCAAAAATCAGGCTGCAGAAGGTTGCAATAGAC